GTTCATTTTTAATTTATTTTTTAAGACCTAACTCTGCTTATCTCCAAAACTAGAACTGTGATATTAGCAGTTTTTCTGTCTTTATCTCCCAACTCTAACCTCTTGGTACAAATACTAGTATTACTATTGGTTATTAATTACTGACCATTTCAATTATTAGAGAAACGTTTATTCAAAAGAAAAGAAAAAAAAAAGGTAAAGTATGTAACTTTCTTTAGGTGACATATCACCTGCATAATTTCGGTTGCCCTCCTCCAGGCCAAATACGACTCAGGTTTGTGGAAATGCAAGTCTGCTCACATTAAGTTTTTCAATGAAATAAATACAATCAAAAATGGATCTATAAAATCTATATTCTGTATATTGAAAAATAATTAGCTTTTAACTTTTTTTCTGTTACCCACTACCTATAGCAACACCAAGAAAAACAGCTGCTCCATGTGTTATTTTGCACTAAAGCTGCAATTAGAGGTTGACTGTGTTGTACCACTGGAGTTCAAATGTAACACACAGACCCGTATCTAACATTGCCCATTAATCATTCAATCAATGCCCCTGCTGTTTTTCTGTGCGCTCAGTGTCGATCGACTTCACTGAGACATTTCTACACACAGACTACATGAACACACATTTGAATGGAAAGGACCGCGTAGGCCTGTCACGATAACACATTTTGAAGCATGATGTATTGCTACAGACAAATACTGATAAGGGAGAATATTGAAACTACTTTATGCCACTGACTCAATAACAATAATGCGAGATAATCCCAGGAAACCATTTTTAAATCGAAAAGGCATGAACTACAACAAATAAACAGCAGAATTAACCAATATTTATCTATGTAAGTTAATTATTCAACCCTCTGCAGCTCAAATCGTATTGCATCACAACAAAAATACCCCAAATCTCCTCACTTTTACAAAGAACATGTTCACACGATACTGAGCCCCAGAACTAATTGTTCCAGCTTTCATATATTGAACGATAAGTCGATATAGTAATCATCGTGACAAATGAAGCATTGAGGTGTACTATGTAACTGCTTGTTTCTATAGATATGTCATTGCTTTGCCTAGAATGTTCCACAGTATGACATTAAACAGCTCTATCTTACATTTATTCAGTTACAGGTGGTTTTATAGCTCTAAAACATATGTTCTGACTGTGAGTGTGGTCGCCTCTCCACAGATCTGACCTGTAACTTGGTCTGGTTTGGTCTCTGTGAAGATATAAAGGTTTGATTCCATACTGTGAAACATTCCCCACAAAGCAATAACATCTCCATGGAGAAAAGCATTTGACAGGTTCTCCACCAGAAAGTTACAGATTGCGCCTTTAAAATAGTAGTCTGGAGCTTGCTTTCCTGTTACATGTGCATGCAGATCCCCCTCATTAACTCGCCGATGGGTCACTGAGTGGCCATGTTAGCGCTCACAGCATGCGGAGCGAGACCAGTTCTAATTGCTAACAGGGAAATCTACAGAAGGCTGGATACAGGTGGCTGGTCAGAGACTGTTCTTTGACCGCAGATACACACAACGTCTTAGGCTTTTAATTAGGGAAGGCGGCTCTTGAATTGTGACCTGTTTCCTCCCAGGGCTCTCAATGCAAATTTGATCTATTCATAGCGGAGTACAATGACAGCTTTGGCATCGTTCTCTCCCCAAACTCTCCTTAAAATAACATTGACAGGAATAAGATTAGAACCACGACTCAGGTTTGCTGTAGAGAGCTTAACTGTCGGTGATAGATTTTCACTCAGACATATTCAAGGATGAGCACTAAAATCGAAATAAACATTTTAGATTTGAGAAGGGCGTAATCATACTTACGGTGTTTCAATATTTTAATACTTGAAAGTTTAAAAATCTTTCTCAATGTGGTTTCCATGGCCACAGTTATTTTAAATCATTAAATAAATAGAATACATTCACCTTTCAATAATTAATAATTGTAAGGGTAGCACTTCTAGATTATAAATATAGACTAGACGGCGTGAGCATTCACACTGTAAGTGCCAGTGTAACAGTTGGGTTTCTGCAGTGGCCCTAGTGACCCTGAACTGAAATAGTTTTAATAAACGTCAAGTAAAATCAGATGCAATTGTCATTTGAATCAGAATAGTTATTTTAGAGGTGGACAGTTTTAAAGTACATGAGTTTTGTTTTCTTATCTTTTAGATAAAAAGGCCAAGAGCTGATCGCCATCTTCAAATCACTTTGTCTACAATTCAGATCTACTCAATATTCTGAGGTTAGGGTCCTTGCCAGTGAAATAATATTGTGATAAAGGTTTCAAAGATAGTCATCTGGACAATGTTTTTGAAGTTGAGCAGTTCTGACTAAACCATACAGTCAGATTCTTCTGGCTTTTGCGTGGTAGAAGTTTGTTCTCCTCGAAGGTGAACATGCTTTCAGTGTTTCCCATTAATACAGTAGAAAATGATGCCCCCCATAAGCCAAAATTTCCCTCAGAACAACCTGGACTATATATTCTATAGGCATAACAAAATTAGAATTTGTTGTTCATTGTAAACATTGTAAACATATAAAAGAGACTACAGTGGTCCAAAATGACTGCTTAAAGGTTAAATATAGTAAGTGACATTTACTCCACAAATTGAATGATTCAGATGTGTGTTATTAATATACCTTAGGCTATTTAAATAAAAATAATTTGTGCCACCATAATCTTAACCAAATCTGTTGGAAACTTTGGGCTTTATCTGTTTTACTATCATTTAGAGGTGGGTGATATGCCAAAAAATAATCAATAAAAAAATCAAATCACAATCATTAAGAGGTAACTAAAGCCCCCTGCTCCTTCTGACAGGTTAAATCCTTTATAATTCAATCACCCTACCACTCTTTCTCAGCCTTAAACACTGACCAATAAGATGAACGGGTGATGAAAAGAGGTTTGTCTGAGCACTGAGCTGCAATAAACAGAAAAAAACAGAAGGATTTAGTCAGATTTACCCATGTTGTGTTTTGGTCTATATAATCGTCTACATTATTATTAAATTCTTGACCACCACTTGTCTAATATAAAAGCACTAATGCAGTCAAACTTAATGCAAAGCAGCTGTTATTGTTTTCACTTTCTCCCCGCTGAAAACACATTCTGCTTAGGCTGGTCCATTCTTGCTGAGCACTTCTCCAGCTTTATGGAGTGTGCAGTCCTCTGAGGCCACCTGATGACCGGAGAGCAATCCCGCAGTTAAAATGTTGTGTATGTCCTGTGGATTTCTTGCAGTGTCGGCTTCAAACGCCTCTGATTAGCCATCTACCATCTGCTGGGCCAGCGGAGGAGAGTGCCTCATTATTTGGTGGCCACATCTCCCCTCCCTCCCTCTCTCTCTCTTTCTGTCTGTCTCTCTGTCTCTCTCTCTCTCTCTTGTCTCTCTGCTTCTCTCTCTGTGTATCTCTCTTTCTCTGTATCTCTATCATTCCCTCTCTCTCTTTCTCTCTGTCTATCTTGCTCTTCTCTGTCTGTTTTTCTCTCTTTCCTTTCTCTCTGTCTCTCCCTCTCTCTTTGTTTTTGTCTCTCTGCTTCTCTCTCTTTCGCTCTCTCTCTCAGTTTCTCTCTCGTTTTCTCTGTCTATCTTGCTCTTCTCCATGTCTCTCAGCTGCTCTCTTCTTTCTCTCTGTCTCTCTCTTTGTTTTTGTCTTTCTGGTTCTCTCTCTCTCTGTGTCTCTCTTTCTCTCTCTCTCTCTTTCTATTTATCTCTCTTTCTCTCTTTCAGTTTCTCTTGCACCTCTTTTTCTCTCTGTCTATCTTGCTCTTCCCTGTCTGTCTCTGTCTCTCTTTCCTTTCTCTCTGTCTCTCTTTGTTTTTGTCTCTCTGCTTCTCTCTCTGTGTATCTCTCTTTCTCTGTATCTCTTTCTCTGTATCTCTCTCATTCTCTCTCTATTTCTCTCTGTCTGTCTTGCTCTTCTCTCTGTCTCTCCCCCTCCCTCTCTGTCTCTCTTTGTTTTTGTCTCTCTGCTTCTCTCTCTTTCTCTTTCTCTGCATCTCTCCCTGTATATCTCTTTTTTTCTCTGTCTCTGTCTTGCTCTTCTCTACGTCTCTCAGTCTCTCGCTCTCTCTCTCCTTTCTCTCTGTCTCCTCTCTCTCCCTCTCCTGTCTCTCTTTGTTTTTGTCTTTCTCTCTCTGTTTCGCTCCTTCTTTTTCTGTCTGTTTATCATGCTCTTCTTGTTTTTGTCTCCCTGCTTCTCTCTCTCTCTCTCTCTCTCACACACTCTATTTGTCTGTCTATCTCTCTCTATCTCTCTCCTGTCTTGCTATCAGGGCACTCGGCAGGGCCCCTTTGTACGAGGACTGGCACGGAGCAGCCGGGGAGGTGGGGGGTGATGTGTTGATGTTTAAGTGGCTGAACGACTGACACGGGAGTGACAGAGAATGAGCCGTACAATGTTCAGTCCATGGCACTACAAAATGTAACTGTCGCTGTAGTAATGCATTTTTAAACCCAAACAGCACTTGTAGGTCGTGCAGTATTTCACCGTGTGTAGGAACATACATACACGCTGAGTGCTTTTCTGTGTTGTTAAGTGGCTGCAAAACCAATTTAACAGGGAATGTCGAGAAATTGTTAAAACATTACAATACTGGGTGTGAAAAAGAGACCCTTAAAATCCAAGATATAGCAGCTCTAATTTGTGTTGAAAGTTAAAAAGCAAATAGATGGGCTTTTAACTTCATTTTAAACTAACATATATTTTATACAGAATTGTGATCAACCTCTAAGTCTGAATACTATACTATATGATGTAAAAAAAAAAAAAAATATATATATATATATATATATATATATATATATATATATATATATATATATATATATATACACTACACCATTATCATTTGTTCCTCTAAACTCTAAATCATTTATGTTTTGGCAATGCTTTTTCACAGTTACTGTAAGTTTATAATAATTCCCGTACCTAAAGGTTGGATACTGTTCCACTGTTAAACATTTGGTTGTTGTTTTGCAGGACCTAGTGGGGAGTGCGCCGCCCCAGAGGAACTGGAAGGGCATTGCCATCGCTCTGCTGGTCATCCTCATCATCTGCTCGCTCATCGTCACCTCCGTCATCCTGCTGACACCCCGTGAGTACACTACAGCAAGTACTGCTTTAGGGACTCCTGAGAGTTCTGTCACGATAATTCATCAATTTATCATTCCATACATGATAGATTAGTATTAGTATTTATCGTGGGTACTATTTCTTTGTACTAACTTTTTATCATTCTTTGGTCAGATTTGAGCTATAAAAGGTTTAATAAATGACTATTAAATAACTGTTTCATATATTTATTGCAGCTCATGTTCATTGTGAATAATTTTTGAAGGAAATCCTGTTTTAGGGTTATTGCTTTAGTGGTGTAATGGAATTCAATATTATCTTATATCATTTATATTTTCTTCAGCGATATTTCATACTTCAAAATGTATTAACATGACAGGTTTTATCAAAAACCATAACACACAATTCATTTTAGCCAGTCATACCAACTTGATCTTAGCTAGATCAATATTGTTTTGTGTTTCAGTCCTTGAGAAAAAGAAAAATATAACTATTGCTACAAAATAGTTATTTTAAATGTTATGGGTGGCATAGTGGCACAGAAGTTAGTACATCAAGAGGATTTAAGGTTTGATTTGATTGGGGTCTATTTGTGTTTGCATGTTCTTATATTTGTCTATGCAAGTTTATTCTGTCTCTCATGCTTCTAAACCATGTAAAAGGGTCCACTCTGCTATTCTAAATGTCCGTGGTGCTTTCCTGGTTAAATACCTAGGATATAAAATTCTTAACCAACTTTTTTGAAACTAAAGTAAATATTAAAATACTGAAATATTGTACTATTTTCTGATCTATGCTATAATGTTGTTTCCTCATCAAAAACATAGAGTTATGTTTTGTTTCATTCACACACACAAACCCTATAGATTTAGGCTGTGATCTTCTCTCAAATGGAAAACACTCTGTTCCACCTTATGATATCACGTGGCAATACAGGAAGTGCTCCACTGCGTTTTTAAACTATTCATCTTCACTTGAATCATTTGGAGTCTTGGAATTGCTAATCTCTAAAACTACCATTTCATGACATCATAACATGGAACTGAGCATTTTGAGCATTGGAGATGTAGACAATGTAGACTCACAATAAAGGGTTACTCAAGCGTGTGAATGAAATGGTATGTTAATGGTAACAACATTCTAACATGTCTTAAAACAGCACAGCATTGATATTGTTTGATAGCTAAATTTCCTTTTTTATAATGTATTGTTATGTATCGTATTTTAAATGCAGATTTCTGATATTGCAAAACCCGTATCTCTCACAGCCTGACCATTATTTCTGCCTCCTACACACATCTATACAGCATGAGGGTTTGTGTATGTATTTATCTAGCCTTGGCGTCAGGTGTGGGCAGAAAACCATTTCCTTTGTACCTCAAACAGCCTTACAAAAGAATACCCCAGCAAGGCAGCTCCGAGTGAAGGCCCAGTGTGGTATTTGGGCTGGCACCAACTGTGGTTCTGACATAAGATGACATTTGGTGAATTGTTGGAGAAAAAGTGAAGGAACAAAAAAAAAAAAGTGGATTGTGGAGATGTGGAAAACAAGATTTGTATTCAGTCAGAAAGGTTGGTAATGTGTGTTGTATATTGGCCCATTTTCTAGAAGATTCACAGTGTGAGTACTTGGCAGTGTTGTGTAGGCCTGCCATGATAACAAATTTGAAGTATATATTGCTGAAGATATAGACGGTAATATTGAAACTATGTTATGCCACTGACACAATGCGGATTATCCCCAAAAACTATTCTAAATGTACAATATGGATGAAAACACAGACTGCAATAAAAACATAGTCATAGAAGTCGTGTATTTCACTCTCTACAGCTCAAATGTTTCCGTAGTACAAAAAAATGACAAAGAGTTCTCCATTAGAAAAAAATGGTCATGATTAATATTGAACCCCAAAAATGATTGTTCCATCTAACATAAATGAAGGAATAAACATGCTACTCAATGCCGATTCTGATACCCTTAGTGATCCATAGGCGTATACTAGTCTATGTGGTCTTGTGGTTTACTTGTTCTGATACAGCTCAAGATCATTCTAAAGCTAGTCATGAAAGATTAATTTCTGTCCTGTGAATGTAACTTTTCTAGTATTTCATTGCTCAAATGAGTATTTAGCTTCTATAGTAGTTTTAGTATCAATTAAAATCTGTTTTTCGATACTTACAACACCTAGTCCTTGGTGATGAACTTTTCCACAATATGACATCAGCAATTACCTCCGTAATGGCACATAACCCTCATTGCTGCTATGTTTTTGATAATGAGGGAAAATTGTATATTTTCAAGGATGATCTTACTTTTATAATTATGCATAGAGCTTTGTCACAATAAGATATAATTTTGTGAAAGCATAAATAAGAGCAGAAACCGCTCAAAAGAACAAAACGACCCTGGTAATGGTTCATTTGCTACAAGGGAGTTCAATGAAATTAGTTGCATTTAAATATGCTACTTATAACAAAGATGTGGCCATTTGCAAACCTACCATGCTCCAGGTTCAATGAGTCCATTTCTATTGAATGTCAGACAGAACACACTTATTTCACAGACACTGGAGTTTCTGTGGTTGCACTTTGGTTTAATACAAAGTTATCATCAGGGGCTCATAAGGAGGAAATGAGGCTTCTAATGGATATCCAATGCAGGATGTCTTCAATGAAACATCGGAAATACAAACTTGAATGTTCTTAGGACTTGAATGTTCTTAGGACATGTACTTAGGCTGAACAGAATTATTTTTTAGCATTATTATTTTGCTCATAGAAGCCAGTATGATCAATTGGTCCAATGTATGTTTATAACAGAACACTAAAGTGGGATATTCCTTTAATTAAGATGAAAGAAGATTTGCCAAAATAAATAGTAGTTAGTATTAAAGGTGCACTATGTAGGTACATATGTATGTTTTCTGCTTCTGTATGTTTTTATTACATTGCCTGAGATATTCCACACCACATCTTCATTTATTAATTTATTCATTTACAGGCATTATTATTGGCAAAAAATACAAGCAACGTCTCTGTGGAGATATTGGAACGTACATGGTGTGCCTTTAATCATGCATTTACTGCATATACTATTTGTATATTGTTAAAACTAGTCCAATAAAAAGTAGTAGGCAGACAGATGTGAGAGTCTTGTTTTTATCAGTACAAATCAACCCACCTTTTGTAGTTCCAGCTCTTCTAGTGAGATGGTGATAAAGTAAACCCTAACAAGCTTTAGATAGAGCAGTGCCTACAGTTAGCATCACACCTCCAGTGAATTGATAACATCAGCTGCAAAGTATTAATATAATAGACCTGTTTAATGACAAATTGGGGATATGTTTGCTAAAACCGATTCAGACAGGTTTTGTTTTTTACACTAAGTGGTGGACAGTGGCTAGCCAGGAGAGGAAACTATTACATTGTTAACCCACTCAGTGTTGTTGAATATAGATTATTATGCAGCATTGCTTTCTTCCATTTGTCAGACTGACTCAATATCAGAAATTCAATTTTTCTCATAGTGGAAATAAGGCTGTCGCTCTGCAGCGCCGTTCCTAAGAGAATGTGTCCGATTCCTTTCAAGTCGGTAAACACTTGACAATGTCTGACGTGATATTTACACAGTAACATCTCGTGCTCAGTCACAACACGACGCCTGTTAAAAAACTGTCATGTCAGTGAGTGGAGCGGACCGGCCTGTCACACTCAATGCTTTTGTGTGTGTTGTTTTTCGAAGTTAACTTGCGCACACGCGACACTTCAAAACCGCCTCTACACCTGCCCTAAGCTGCTGCGCTGTTGTCTGCCCCACCTGCAGCTGCTCGACCTGCTTTAGAGCTCATTTAAAGTTACAGAAACGGAGGGAGTCCAGGCCCTGCTGTTTAAAACGAAGCTGGCAGATGTGAACCGATGCTTTCAGATCAATAGAGCAATACCTGGGGCCTCGTGCGTGTTTGTGTCTGGCTCCAAATTGCTTTACCTAAAGTGTGGGGAGCTGCTGGAGATGGTATCTGAAGAGAGCGCGTCTGTGACAGGGCATGTGTGAGTCTTAGGCCCCCCGAGAGAAGCAATACAGGAAGAATAAACTAAACAAGTCAGTCACTACAAGCAAAAACTCAATGCATTATAAACAAATTGAATTCAGTCACTTAAAGAAGGGGTATTATACTTTGTGTAGAATAAATTGCTAACATATATACATACTTAGATCACAGTGTTACTTTTTATTGTTTTGGAAATGCTGTATTTGTGTTATTAAGTTCCACTTTTGTTTTTGACATTCTGAATGGCCTCTCCACACTAAGTCACTCCTCCTTCAGAGCGCTATCACATTACAATACATTTCGCTAATGAAACTACTGCACATTGAATCAGGTTTTTGAAATTGTAGTATATTGTTTTGTATCATGCATATTTTTTGGAAAATGGGCTTTCGATACGATACGGTACTGCTAATGGTAAGAAGGGTTTGAATAGGGCAAGATTGCTAGATTACTCAAACATGCATGATGGCTAAAAGCTCTTCAGGCATGATTTTGATGAGGGAACATTATACCAGGGTAGAAACCTCCAAAAAGCTGATTACCCCCCTCACAACCCTGCAATACATTTATTAAAAGAGTTAGTAGAAACTGTCTTTCAAAGGAAATTAAACCATTAGTACTTTTTATGATAGAAAAGTGGACCACTCAACCATGGACATTAAACAAAGGCAGATTAGTCACTGTCTATTTTGGATATAGCTGTTAATTCAGTCTTGGGAGGTTGTGATTTTAAGCTAAAGGGGCCAATTTTATGCATTTCTGAATTTTTAACTAATGGACACCATAGCCTAGGTTTTATCCAATGTTTCTAGTGACATATTCTGCTTGTCTCAATTGAGATCTTATTGCTTTGAAATGACTAACAGTATTACATTAAACTTGCCTATCTCCATGGAGACAAGCAAGTGATGTCTTCAAGCCTAGTTACAGAACAGATCTGCGGAGAGGCAACCCCACTCACAGTAACAATGGATGTCTTTCAAGGCATTTTTGAGCAATAAAACCACCTGTTATTGATTTAATCTAATTAAATGAACGCAAAATAGACTTGCCCAATACCATACAGTTGGACATTCCAGGCAAAGCAATAGTTTCCATAGTGACAGAACTCTCACCAGAAAAGCTACATATTGCATCTTTAATACAAATGTATGTGAGTTGCCCCAGCCTCAGGTTAATCAAAACATTTACTCACTGATGGTAAGAATACTTTGAAAATTTAAATTTAATTACAGAATACTTACTGAATACCTGTATTAAAATGTATTTTGCAATGTATTCTGATCCATGGTCCAGTCAGAGTACTGTATTCTGAATACTTACAATACTTTCACAAAAGATTGCTTTTAAATTATAGTGTGTAGACACAACACAGGATTTAAAATAGCTTCATATTTGTTTCACCATTTGTTCTGCATTTATTTATCATTGATTAGAAAAGAAAATATGATACATGCCACACATACATACCATAGTGTTTTCTGTTTCTGTGTGATCAAGTACCGCCATGTATTCCTTTGAATACATATAGTGTACTATATTGTACTGTATCTGTATTCTGAATACCACCAAATGAGTAAATGTAAAATAGTTACTCAAAGTTAGTATACAGAAAATGTAGTCTCTATACATGTATTCAGTTACTTCCTAACACTGCATGTACTTAGTGCCAACATGTGATACTAGACCAGTATCTGCTGCCATATACTGTAGAACATTTCATGCAATACTATGTGATACTTCCAAAACACACTAATTTCTTTCCATTCAGGTGTCCAAAGTAGTTTTAAAAAGCTTGAACATTTTATAATGTAAGTCTTTATAATAGTATCCAGCAAAGTCAAAGTCAAGAAAAGATTGCATACTCAATTTCCATCCTCTTAAGGAAGTTCTGAACTATGAAATGTAAATGCAGTCAGCCTCAAAGTCCTTTAAAAGACAATGATGTACTTCGACAACCATAGAACCAGCGAAACAGATATTAAATCAAAAAGCCAGGTCTCATACCACACATCTCAAACCTATGCATATTGTACAAGTTTAGCTGATATTTTCCTTGTTTGATGTTGCTGACAGGTGAAGATGACAGCCTTGCCCTTAAGAAGAAAGTCACAGTGGAAGACGTGTTTGGGCCAGACCTGAGGATCCATGACCCAGATGCTAAGTGGCTGAGCGGTGAGTGCGCTGCCCGCTTTTGGCATTTAGCGCCTGTCTGCCTCCAGAGGAAAGTGGGCATTTTCTGACACCTCCGGACAGGTATGGCTGCCCATAACTCCAAGTGAGGAGGCGGTACTTAAATCAGACATGCTTTGATAGCTTGCCCGTCTGTATGAAAGCGTTTGGTTTTTCCTCCATGCATTTTGATCAAGATAGTATTGTCAATTCATAAGGAAATTTAAACTGGGTTATGTCACTTAATAATATCCTATAATTGATACAAATACAAGCTCAGAATGACCACATTTTTCTCTTGTTTTGTTTTTTGTGTATTTACCTATGGCCTCTTAAACAGGCTCATGTTACATTACTATGTGATCTGTGTTTATAATATTGTTTCCTCATCACAAACATACCTGGAGTTGTGTTCTGTTTCCTTCACACATGTTTAACATGCAAATCCTGCATATTTAAGATGAGTTCATGTCAAACAGAAAACACTGCTCCACTTTGTGATGTCATGTGGTAATACAGAAAGTGCTCCAGTGTGTTTTTAAACTCCATACAGCTTCACTAGAATCATCTGGATGATTTCAGGCCTGGAATTGCCAGTCACAAGGTGAAACAGAGCATTTTTAGCTTTGGAGCTGTAGACAGACTAATAATAAAGAATTACTCAAATGAGTGTGAATGAAACAAAACACAACTCTAGGGATGTTTAAGATAAGGTAACATTCAAACATGGCTTAAAGCTTACACAAGTCAGTTCTGTGTAATAAACAAATAGGATAGTGATGACTCATTTAAAAAATTGACAAAACAACTAACAAGAACTAGATGACTGAAAATGAGCTTTTTAGAAAGTTCAGGTCTCCCATAAGTATGGTTTTAGTATATTTCCGATCTATAAGGAAAATTTTTTGATTGGATGCTTATAGTCATAAATAGAATAGAAATGAAAGTAAAAATATTTTGTTTGCTACAATTTCTCATTCAGAGTTGGACTATGTTGTAGTAACATTCATTATTCATATTTTTTTCACTAGAAGCAATAATCATTACAAGGCATTGCTGAAAGAACAAAAAACAAAAACGAAATGTTCTATTTTCATATAAAGTATTTATTTGAACAATGAATGCAGTACGCAGGTTGTAATGTGCTTGGTAATTATGTATATTTGTAAAGGAAAATAACCAGAGAAAGGTCAATCTAATGAGCATGTTCTGTCTGGCATTATTGACTGGCCCTTTATGTGGGAACGACTGATCCTAATGAATACTGCACTGAACAGGGCTTTTTACGCTCTTCCTTTAACCAACTCTTTTGAATGGAGCACGTTCAAATAAAGACCTTGTGGTGACCGTTATTCTACAGTAAAGGTAACCATGGGAAATGCACCGAGTCTCCCAGTTTAAAAATTGAAGCTCAAGTTTATTTGATTATTAAACTAGTAGTGGCAGTAGGCTGATATGAAACCTGTTCAGTGAAATTCACCAAGTATAATACATACAATACATACACCATTCATCTAGTATATAACCAGCTTTATGAAATCAAACGCTCTGAATGATACATTAAGGATTCAGTGTCATATATAGCGATATAAAAACACTTTATATTTACATTAACTTTTTTGAAACATTGATACTTTAGAGCTGATGTCATCAGCATTCCATGGGGGTGTGCTAACTGCAGGCACTGCTCTGTCTGAAGCTGTGTTACTCAAATTACTCAAATAAACTACACTTTAATCTGAGCTTTGGTTTAACACAATCTGACCAGAAAGGGCTGGCTAGGTTGGAACTACAACAGGTGATGTGATCTGTGCTGATAAACAAGTCCTTCTTAAATAACATTACAGTCACAAGCTAGCTAGTCATTACCAACAGTTTGTCACTCAAACAAACATCTAAACAGATATGCTCATATTGATCACAGGCTCCTGAACATTCACTCTTTAAAGCTATTTTGTATTTTTGTATTGATTTTTGAGATGATCTTATAACATATTTGGTAGTGTTTGCTAATGTGTGCACTGTGTCTCCATGGTAACTGCTGGACATTCCACCAGAAACGTGTTGAACACCCCCAGCATGATGTCACTGCAAAGTATCAGTAGATGGAATGGAAATGAATTATCTTTGCTTCTAAAATGATCACGATTATTATTTCGCCGACCTCATAGCATAACTGAATAAATCATTCTATTCTCCAGACTCTGCTCCATCTGCCCCAAACTGCCCCACTCATCTTATTGACATAGGCAGTTTATTTTTGTATTTTCTCCAGCAGTTTTTTCCACCCGTTGGTAGAGTATTTGGCCACTGATCTGAAGGTTGGCAGTTCAAATCCCGCTGTTGGCATAAACATCATTGGTTGAATAGTCACATCCACTGGCCCACAGTTTGCCAGTACAATTCCATCTCCCACAGATGAATGCTGCTATTGTGTCCTTGGGCAAGACAATTAACCCACCTCACCTCCAGTGTCTATACACTGATGTATTCCTTGGAAAAGCGTGATGTGATCATTTACCAAACATGAAAAATTACATAGTTCTTATATTGTGAACTGTACAACCTCCATCATTAGGAACAATCTTGACATTCTTAGCCTTGTTCTTAGCCCAATTCCAACTTCACTGAACACCTTGCCCTTCCCACTGTCCGTCTATCATACTCTCACTCTTGATTACTTACATTAGGGCCTAATTAACATGTAATTAGTGAACTTCCTCTGCTCCTCCTGCGCCCTTCACTTACAATAGTGATGAAATTGTCCTGAGCACCTGAGGAGAGCCACACAATCAATCGGGTGACTTTGCATCTTGTCAGTAGCGTTAATGTAATCAAGTCCCATTCTTAGCTAATGGCCTCCCGATAAGAAGTCTGATGGGACGGCCGGTACTCCACTGGCCTTCATCAATATACGGCGTGCTTCATTCACAGCGATGTGTAATTGATCCCTGCTGCTCTTTGATCACCACTCGCCTCTGTAGTCTTTGGATTCACCTCTGAGTTTCTCACGCACTCACATTCAAAGGGTTTGACCTTCCAACTGAAAAAGTCCCACTGACAGCCTGGCCATTTCTGTGTTGGTGATATAGAGAATTAAAAATGAACTAACTTTAGCTTACCTGCGCCTGCAGCTTGGTCTTATGCATTTTTCAGCTTTCAGCCTGGCCCCCCGCTGGTATAACTCATTCAATTTGTGTTAAACCTCCTCCCTGTTTTTTAAATTCAATTCATTACAATTTATTTTTGTATAGCCCAAAGCCCCAACAGTAGTCGCCTCAGAGGATTTCCCAAAACTGTTGATTTAACAAACAAAGGGTTAGAAAATCAAACAGCATTTTTAAATTCACGTATCTTTACCAGCCTCATTCTCATTATTTCCAGAAGATGGAGTTGTGTGATTCTCTGTGTTTGTATGGAGTAATTTTATATTTTTACTTGGTTTAATATATATTCTGTTAATCCACATGTAATAGAAAGCTATAGTAGATGTTTGATAAAGCGTGGATGATGCATAACGTACGATAGGAATAACTTCAGTGCGGCAAACCATTTTTAAATATATGAATACACAGTTAAAGGGCCTATATTACGCTATTTTCTGATCCATGTTATAATCTTGTTAATGAGTTGTGTTTTGTTTCATTCACACATTTAACACAGAAACCCTGAAATTTAGGCTGTGTTCTTCTCAAACAGAAAATACTCTGTACTGGAATAAAAAGTAGCTGGAGATGTAGACAGACTAACAATAAGGGTTTATTCAAGCATGTGAATGAAAGAAAACACAAGTCTAGATATGTTTTTGATGAGATAGTAATATTATAACATGGCTAAAAGCTCATAAGAATCAATTTTATGCTATATTGAAGTAAATACTGGAGTTACTTTTCATCTATATCCTTCATTATACATCAGGACTGAAAAAAATGAATCTTTCACAATCACTTTTTGAGAATTTCTGTTTGAAACTGGTCGCTGTTTTATCATGCTTAGTTGGGATTTTCTCTCTGACGCTCCAGTTTTGGCAGTGCATTTAACAAGCAGAGTTTCAAGATGAAAACACTTGAGCCTGAATGGCAGGTGGCAGCAAAAAGATTTGGCTGTGTATTTCTGATAGTGACAGTTCTGCATTCCTCTTTGATAATTGTTTGTTGATTGTCGTCTGCTTAAAATTTTCAAAGCATAAAACCAATAAAAGATAGTTGTTTGAATAGGAAATATAATCAAGCAATTTAATAACAGTGTATTTGTTCTTTTCTAATAGCCTTTTTAGCATTACGAGCTAAGAGGAGGCACTGGAAACACAATACTCACACAGAATTCTATGTTTATATTTGTTTGAACAACGACAGGTTATTCAGACTTGATACAACTTTAATGTCTAGCACTGCTTTTCAACCTCTGCTTTAAAGATGTGAGGAAAGAGACAACATTCACTGCAAGGGGAATTTTAATGCATTAGTTATCCAAGTCTGTGATGTGCACGCCATGTTTCTTTATAAAGACATGACTAATGCAACGAGAATCTGTCTAATGTTGTTTTCATTTTCAGATCATGAAGTGCTGTATCGTACAAGAGACGGGGATGTTGTCAAACTTCACGTCAACACCAAAGAGACAACCATTGTGGTGCCCAGTCAGCTGTTTGTGAGTCCAGTCTAATGGAAAAAAATGTTAGTGCTACAGTGAAGCTAACTGTCAATAATGCTGTGTTTTTTCTCTATGATCAGGACAGATCCAGGGCCATCAAATACCAAGTGTCTCCAGATATGCGACATGTACTTTTTGCATTTGATGTGAAGCCTGTAAGAACATCTCTCACCTGTCTTCTTTCGTTTTAAAGTTTTTGTTCGTCTCAGCTATCCTGATTGGTGTGTGTCTGGTTGCAGATCTACCAGTACTCCTTCCTAGCGAAGTACATCATCTACAGCCTTGACACGCAGTAAGTTGTATTCTGCTCCGTTTCCCTTGAGTTGGAACATTACGTCCTTAGCCTGACCGACTGTGGCCACTTATGTGACTCCAGCGCATTTACTGCCTTTGCTGCCACTTTGTAGAATTGCATTTAAGCCTGTTTTTAGCCTTTCATCCATCTATGTCTGCTTATATCCTACTGCTGTGTCGCTGGTGCACAGAGAAGTCAGCTGGTGCTAAAAATGGCCTTGGATGATTGATGAAGCTTACAGTTCAGGAACAAGCCAAATACATGACTTTTATTGCTTGAGTGCATTTGTTTGCTGCTCTACCATAGTGTCGAGAAATATTGTGACAGCTTGTGCTGTTTTGCCTCTACAGGGAAACTTGGCCCCTGAATCCGTCTGAGGTGCAGGATGCAGTCCTGCAGTATGCTGCATGGGGGCCACTGGACCAGCAGCTGGTAAGGCGCTTGTACTGTGAGATTACACTCACTAGAGCGGGCACCCGCGCCAACATGTCAGAGCCAGCCTGGCATCGCAGGGAGACTCCGGCTGATTTATGGTTTGTCACGGCACAGAACAGAAACGTTGTAGTGATAAGGGGTTTACAACAACTGAACTGTTATGACCTGATAAGTAGCTGTCTTTACTCTGACCTCCATGGCACCAGCAGCCAAACTGTGTGAGTGTGTGAACTTTGAGATAAAAAAGGAGCTTGAGGGAGCCTCAGAGGCAGATGGCATCTCATGGCACACGCTGTGTGCTGGCCAGTGTGAGGTGGGACACATGCCACTCACCAGTGTGTGGCCATGACATTCTTCTATTGTGGTCAAATGCCAGAGCCATCACAGCTGTCAGCAATGTTCTTTAGAGATGAGAAATCTATTTATCACATCTATTTCTGTCACTGTATTTTTTCTTTAAGTGAGGAACAGCAAATAGTTTTTCAGTTTGAGGTAATTTAAACCTTTTAACAAAAATGTAATTTAAATTTTTTAGTTGCTCAGATTCATATGGCACTCCACAATCCTGACGAACTTATTAAAACATACAATAGTCCAATATTCAGTCACACTTCATGCACTACAGTGGCAACACACTCCACATCTGCCTGGGGGCTAAGTAACTGATAAATAGCTACCTTTCTGCGCCATGGGCATCTCTGATCAGGGTAGATAATGTGTACATCATAGACTGTATATATAAATGGACATAGCTAACCTGCTAGCCACTGCCTTCCAAATAGGAAGTTGGCATGCAGCTCTTCCGGCTCCTTCTGACCCTGGCTCCCATTGACTTAACCTTGGAATATTGTGGCCCCTCTCTCTGTAACTTCTGCTGTGAGCCTTGTCATTTTGGTGTTAAAATGTTCGTCATAACCCGCTCAACATGATCCTAGCGTTTTTTTTGTTGTTGTTTTTTTTTCACTATTTTGTCCGTCAAAAAAATCCTATTCATAATATGGAGCCTGGTTCCAAATTGGCCCCTGTAGCCGATAGCATCGTGAGCTTCATTTGAGTGGCGCTGAGCGCTATGGGTGATGTCACACTCGCTTTTTTTTTTAATACCGTCTATGACAGGAGTCGGCAACCCAACATGTTCAAAGAGCCATATTGGCCCAAAAAAACAAAAACCATACCTGCCTGGAGCCGCAAAAAAATTGAAAGCCTTATATAAGCCTAATATGAAGGCACCATACGCTGTCAGTATATCAGCTATATAAGCCTACTATTAAAATAACTAAGTAGGCTACAAATACAAAATGAGCATTCATGATTACACAAACCCCTTTTCCGACCCTCTCATACTCGGTGCACCTCTGTAGCCACTGAAATCAGGTGGTTAGTGTTTATTCCTTTGTCATTTAGGCCCCGTTATTTTTAAAAACTGAGACATTTCCCTTCGTTTGTACACATCGTTTACACGCAAATGGCGAATTCGCCTCTGAAAACAAATCTTTCTAAAAACTCCGGCTAGAGTGGAGATTTTGGAAAACTCCGGTTTCACGTTTGCGTGTAAACTGAGATAAACGGAATTTTAGGAGCTGACGCGCCGAAAGTGCGACCGACGTTTACCTGTTGCTTTGACGATGATGATGGAAGCATTCAGAGCAGCAGTCGCATTTCTTCTGATCGTGCATAGGAGCACTCATAAACCAGCAGCATGTAGAACTTTGTACGCAACTCACCGCACATCAGCCTGGAGCAGAAGCTCTGAGCTCGGGCAGCAGCGCCAAACACATGGGAGCAGTCAGCGCGCAGCCCCTCAAGACGGGGCTGGGGGTCCAGTGTTGGTCAGATTGTCCAAAGGCTTTGTCCTTCATGTCCTGGTTCCAGACAGGGGCGAGCAAGACCAGCTCGCAAAGGACTGGGTCCGAGTGCTTCAGTGCAGTCATCTGTGCGCTGGTTCCGTGCGGGAAAAGCGAGAATGCTCTGTGGACCACAGGTCCGGGCGGGCTGCTCCGGTCCTCCACGCTTGACCGCGGCTGGTTCCGAGGTGGTCCAGCATCCGGACAGAAGCGTGAATCCAGTTTGGTTCGTTATATGTTGTTCTGAGCATCCGTCTGCACACGTGTTTTTTTGTTTTGTTTTTTTCGGGGAAAGCACTTCTCAGGTGGAGGCATCGGACACCACCCCCTGCTTCAGCTCATCTGTTTGTTCAGCTGAAACACTTTTCATGTGTTTGCATTTGCACACAGCTGATGGATCAGATCCATGACCAGAGATGAATGAGGGTTTTACCTCTAAAGAAACCATATTAAAACAACAACCAAAAAAATAATTCCTTTTCCATTTTCACTCATTTTTGAAAAAGCTACAGGGAGCCACTAGGGGAGTGCTAAAGAGCCGCATGCGGCTCTGGAGCCGCGGGTTGCCAAACCTATGTTAAACCCAGCGGCAATAATACATTCCCTGGTTGTTGAATGTTTGTCTAACTCATATCGGTGCCAAAGATTCCCCCTTTTTCTTATATAGAGCTACACATGGACTTAAGGAGAGAGTAATCCTATTATTATGTTCTACAATTTCACTTAATCTAGCAATTTGTTCTGTTTTCCACTGTGCTTCGGAGACAGCAGACATCAGCATCTTTTATCGGCTTACCACAAAGCTCTGACTCCTTACTAATTGTTCCTATTTGCTTAGATTATAGTGAAAAACATTTGAAGAGTGCGTAGAGACATTGAGTGGGATAAAGATGCCTCATTTGCATATGGTAATATAGCACAGACGATTGTTCAGTATGCAGGGCTTTTATTGTAAATCCAGTTTGATTGGCTCCTAAGTTTTGATGTTGATGATTTTTGTTTTCATTCGTAATTATTTCCCATCAGAAGCCAAGCAGTTTATCCCAAGCTGTTTGAATTGCACATGGCAGTTTTTTTTTTTTTTTTTTTTTTTTTGAATTCTTTATTTATCATATTTTAAAGGTGCACTATGTAACTTTTTTGATGGGGTTCCGTCACCTGCTTGTTTCTATGGATATGTCAGTGCTCTGCCTAGAATGTTCCATAGTATGACGTTAAACAGCACTACCTTACATTTATTAAATTACAGGTGGTTTTATAGCTAAAAAATATCTAGAAAAATAGACATTCTGACTGTAAGAGGGCTTGCCTCTCCATAGATCTGCCCTGTAACATGATTTAGTCTCCATGAACATAGAAAAATGTATTAATACTATACTGTGAAACATTCCAGGCAAAGCAATAACATCTCCACGGAGAAAAGCATTTGATTGACCCTCACCCAGGTACACAAATGCACCTGAAAAAAGGCAATTAGCATAACATGTGGGGTGTGCCATTGATGCATATACATGAATACTTTATTCTGTCAATTGTAAGCAAAACTATTATTAAAATAAAAAATCAAACAAAGTCCGGTCTTACAGTTTTGAGAAATTCAGTCCACCGTTCCTAGTTGTTCTTAAATTTGTCTTGTTGCAATCTGATACTAAAAGTAATTCTCTCCATCTTAAAAACAGGCAGTTTGCAGGCAACAGACCTCCAATCAAAAAGTTACCTAATGCACCTTTAAAGTGGTGATCATTTGACTGAATTGGGGAATAATTTGTGAATGAAAACACAGGCTATTAGAATACAAGGCCTCTGTTTGGTCTCCATGGGTATCTTTGAAGCCACAGCTTTCATGTACCCAGTCTTTCATAATTGACTTTTCTCTCTGCAGTAGCCATTTTTAGTCTTTTAATTATTTGATGAGAACAGAAATGCCTTCTAAGGTCATTTTGGATCTCTTTACACACACAAACTATATAAAGAGTTATTAAATTGCATTTCTTTAACATTTTATCTCAAGTTTTTCTGAAGCTTTAGGTAGACGTTTAGGTCAAGTGAACTAAAACATGTACAGTTTTATTTTTCAAGCTTTCTGACAGTGGTTTATGTTTTTTGTAGTGTTTTTCTATCTTCTACCACCTCTTGCTTCTTACAACCACAGAATTGATCTGTTTTCCTGAGATGTTGATTGGACACTATAAAAATTTTATTTTCTTGCTACAGCTATAGGTCATAACCAGAATGTTTTAGATTCTTTTGCGGGCTCACGTAGGGTTATTTTTTTTAAACTATTTTCCACACATCCCAGACACCACACTACACTTCAAAGATGCTGCGTATTTGTTTGGCTTCTTCTATCCGAATTTTCAACAGCCACAACTGTGCTTCGTCCCAGGAACAAAGGTCTAAGCACTTGAAATCAAATCTAAAAACGTATATATAGTAGTAGAAGAAAGAGAATATATCCAGTAATTATTATTCAAGTCCCCTAAGCGATTTACTGTGCATTTTTCATTCATTCCATTATATTCTATAGTGGTAAGACAGAAGCGAGGCGACCATTCTGCGTCTTTCTACCCCTCCAACTACCAGCACTCACGCACACACCATTTTCATACTCGGCAACGTGGGTGCAGTGTCTTGCCTTAGGACACAACGACAACTCTATCCACTGAGCCACTGTTGCCCCTATCTCTGCGTAACTGTATTTTCTTCTTCATTAGAGCATATTTATTTGAATCATAATGCAAAATCAGCTCAAAATTTTAGTCATATTGTTTTGGTTTTGTCATTTCTTTGCTGTATTTCCATGGAGACCAACAGGTGGTGCTATCAGGCCAGTTCACAGGTCAGATCTGTGGAGAGGCAACTACAGTTACCATAAGAATGCATGTCTTTAAAGGTATTTTGTTAGTAATAAAAAATAACTGTAGACAAATAAATGCAAGAAAGGTGTACCTCCATATTGTACAACATTCCAGGTAAGCAAAAACGTCTCCATGGAGACGGGATGGCAGCCGACCCCCTAGTTACCTAGTGCAATGGCAAAATAAAAATAAAGAAGATTAAAAAAAGATCTGTATACTTATCAAGCTATTTTCTGTCTATGACGAGGCAACACTGTAGTTTCTTCCCAATCAAAATCAAACTCAAAGCTGTGCTCCGCCATCACTCCAGCTGACACCAGAACATCTCAATAGGCACAGAGGAGAGAAAATAGCATCTTAAAAGATCTGTATTCACGCTGTGCCTATGCAACTTCAGCATTTTGATCAACATCAGAAAGAATTTCGACTTTGGTGAAGAAGCCAACTCTGACTGTAATGAGGCAAAAATGTGCTAATGTAATGCTCAAGGCAAGTGTTGACAGAGACTTTATTAGCTTTTAAGTGCCATTCGGTGGGAGTCTGGGGGTGTATCTGGATAAAGATAAAGTCATGTTGAGATGGAGCTCTGCGGTGGTCTGATGCAAAATGAACAGAAGGGTGAAAAAGTACTAAGAGCAAATCAGGTGTACATCTAGTAGCTACACGCGTCACATCACATCGTCTGGTAATATTTGTGTACTTTTTTGTGTTGTCTCTCATCAGATCTTCATATTTGAAAATAACATCTACTACAGAGCCAGACTGGACAAGTCGCCCATCCGCCTGGTCTCCACTGGCAAAGAGAGGGAGGTGTTCAATGGACTGGCAGATTGGCTCTATGAAGGTAACACTAAATACTTTTTGAACACAGTCTATGATTTTGTACAGATGAAGTTTTAAAATATGTGGAATATTTGGAATATGTGTCTCACTATGGATAATATGTTGCCACCTTGTTCTGTTTGGCCTTGTAATCAAATTGCTATCTTATGTGAATTTTTTAAAAGCAATGTTTACAAAAAATATAATAGGTGGTCATCTGTTTTTAAAACTGAGGTACTTCAACTGTCATCTTGAAGTCATTTTCATTGAATTACTGAATCACTATTTAAAAGGCCCAAATTGTGCTAGTTTCTCATCTATGTTATAATGTTGTTTCCTCATCAAAAACATACCTTTTGTTTCATTCACCCATGTTCAACACGCAAACTCTGCATATTTAGGTTAAGTTCTTCTCTCAAACAGAAAACACTCTCTTCCACCTTGTGTGGTACTACAGGATATTGCTCCATACACCTTGACTAGAATCATTTAGAAGATTTTAGCCCTGGAATTGCCAATCTCTGATGATCTAAAGATGAAATATAGCTAACTGGAAAACTACCACTTCATGAGGTCACAAGGTGGCTTTTGTGATCAGATAGCAACATTTTCACATGGCTTAAAGATCACTAGAGTCAATTTTATGTAATATGGGACCTTTAATCTATTCATGTATGCATCTAACATATCAGATTCATATGTAAAATATATGCTTTAATTTGCCACCCCACGTTAGTAAAATTCCAGTGTACTTATTAAGGAATACCACCTCCAGCTGTAAGAATTACAGTGACTGCGCAATTCAATTAGTATTCTGTATGCTCCTTGCAACATGATTTCCAAAAGACCAAATCTTTGTATAATTGCTAAACAGACATTGTTTTGTAAGATGCCGCTTGTTCAGCTCATTTCTGAGGACGTCCTGGGAAACATCCAATTCTCAAGTCCATTAGTTCAGGTTGATGTGCTCTGCTACAAGAGAACAGCCGTTTACAATGCCCTAATGAAGAATTTTACATCAAACTCCATTCCAAATATCTGGTTATGCACGCTGAATCAGTTGGCCTCACAAAACACATACAATCATTCATGAAAATACATTTGATTTTTCTTTGATTAACCTGAATTAAACTATATATCTAATTTAATTTAGAAAAATCCTGGATTATTAGTCTGTTTAGATTGCCAAATATCAAAATATTCTGTTCCATCTTGGGATGTCATTAAGTGGTAGTTTTCAAGTTAACACCAACCATTTACCCTTTGTTTAGTATGAATTGGCAATTCCAGGGCTGAAATTATTCTAGTATAGAGTTTAAAAACACAGTGGAGCACTTCCTGTATTACCACATGACATCACAAGTGTGTTCTGTTTGAGAGAAGAGCTCTAAATGTACAGGCTTTGTGTGTTAAACACAGGAATTATGTTAAACAGGAATCATCATAATAACAGATCAGAAAACAGTGTGATATGTGTACATTGCTTTGGTTATTCAGGCACACTCAAATAATATTCAGAAATGTTCTAACAAATTCTTATGTAGGACAGACATGGCGACATACAGTAATGTGCTTTGATTTCTGATTGTTGATTAGTCAGTGGTGTCTTAGACCCCCAACAGTTTTATTAGCCAACTAATTATTTTAGGAGGATTATAAAGATTATATGGACAAAGTATAGGGCAGTTAACTGAAAATTTAATCTCCCTTTTTACAACTAAAACTGTAAAATGTTTACTAGTACTTTTCTGTATGCATAGTTATTATTGCATCTCTCTTGGGATGCAGTTGGGATCAGATGCATGATCAGATTATAGTTTTACAGTTTTATAAATTATATCTTTGAGAGCCTTCTTTAGTTGACTAATAAATGCACAGAGTAGGTCTGTCACGAAAGCACATTTTGAAACATGATATAATGTTGCAGAGAAATATTGCGATAAATGATAATATAGAAACTACTTTATGCCTCTGACACAAAGCAGGACAGCCCTGGTAAACCCATTTTTAAAAAGACATCATTAAATATGAACAAACAAATAGCAGAAAGTTATGTATTAATCCCTCTACAGCTCACATATTATTGTATTACATAAAAATAGCTAAAATCTCTCCATCATTGCAAAGAAATTGTACACACAATAAATATTGAGCCCCAAGCATATTGTTCCAGGTTCCATATATTGAACTATAAGTATATATAGTAATTATCTTCACAGGCCTAGCACAGAGCGGAGTCGTTAGTCAACCAAGAATTTCTGTGGTCGACTCCAGCCTAGTGCTTATAACTATACTGAACATCTATCAATTTATCACAGCGAAATTACAAAAAGAGGAGAAAAAGTGTGCTGTCCTGTAAGGCCCATAATGCACATGGTAAATGCTGGCTATTAGGACTTGCTTCAGAGCCGCTTGCTAATTGGTTTTTCATTAATGGGATTATTAGAAGACACAGAATGCGACATGAAAGACGTAAGCCGTTTTACACAAAGATTAGTCCTGCTGCGGTTCACTGTATGTTCATGGATTTATCACTGTAACAAACAGCTGTACAAATATAGAGGAGACTATAGCTGAGTTTGGTAAAAGAAGTTACATTGAAGCAGTTTGTCGTTGGATTTACTGGATTTGGGAGTGAAGTAGCTAAATATTTAACTGTAATTCTTGGAAAGTTAAAATGATCTATCAATGGTCTGTTTAATGTGTAATTTTTTTAATACTAAAACTTACAAAAGGTGCATTGTGTAACTTTTCTGGTGGGGGGTCTGCCACCTGTTTTTCTCTATGGAGATGTTATTGTTTTGTCAGATATGTTTCACAGTGTGGCTTTAAACCTTTCTATCATCATAGAGAGCAAACCAGGCCAAGTTCCTGGTCAGATCTCTGGAGACACAACCCCGCTCACAGTCAGAATGCCTGTTTTTCTAGGTATTTTCTCTAAAACTACTTGTACTTTAATAAATTTAAGGTGGAGCTGTTTTAATGTCATAGTGTGGAACATTCGAAGCAGAGCAATGACATATCCATAGAAACAAGCAGGTGAAGGACCCCAACCGAAAAGTTACATAATGCACCTTTTTTAGTAGTTAATGTATGCAAGGGTTCTTTTCCAGCTATACCTTATTTTTCTGTGTGTCTCCAATATTACAAAAGCATGGGGGAAAAAAATCCTATTTCAGAAAAACCCACTAGTTTTGAAAGTATTCATTTTGTGTTAGCAATTTTTCCTGAACCTCTAGGCCTTATTGCTGCAGAAATTGGAACCATCCTTTCAACAGACTTTCATCCCTGAATTCTTGTCTTCTATCTCCCTCCATAGGCCAATCGAAAGTTGTGTAATTATATAAATAGAAACCAATACCCAATATGTTTAAGGCTTTTTGCAAACAGACCTTGAACATCTAGTTGAACTCTCAACTATTTCGTCAGCCTTAGTATGAATTTCCAATCAAATCTGTCCCTGAGTGCTCAATGGGCTTCTTCATTACTGCATATTTGTTGTACAGAGCTTCAACCTGTGCATTCATTTTTTTTTTTTTCAAAACAGAAATAATTATTTTCTATTGTTGATTCCAATGCCGTTAAAAATAATAACAACACAAAACTAATGGAATTCCTCTCCAAGGTTGTGAGTATTTGAAAAGCCTATTGTCTGGTCTCACACCTTCTGTAGTTACACAAAGGTAGCTTGTGTTAGTGTTTTGGGTAAAGCTCTTGTGCCCCCTGCTGGAGAAAAAGTGTTATTATCCACACTGTAACCAAAGCTGATATGATTTATTGGAATGAAAAATGAATTATTGTACAATGCCACCAACTGTACAGTGATGCAGTGGGTACATTTCTGTCAGTGTCTGAAAATCAAGAAAATTAAAGTGAACAAGAATGAGGATATATCTGTAATACCTGAGAGGCCTGCAGGGGCTGTCAGTGACCATTAAAGAACCCTACTACTACAATGCAATACAACACAATACAATATTCTTGCAATAAATGTGCTACACAAATATCAAGTGAATTACAGTCTCAGTAACAGCTATCTTGTATACTGTGCTCTTTTGCAGAAGAGATCCTGCAGACTCACGTAGCGCACTGGTGGTCTCCTGATGGACTACGCCTAGCCTACATGACCATCAATGACACACAGGTGCCCAAAATGGAAGTCCCCTTTTTCACTGGGACACCATACCCCAGCAGCTGGGAGTATCATTATCCAAAGGTAGCACATCTCTCTAACTTTTGACAGAATAAGATAAATATTGCCACTGATAGCCTCTCTGGCCTCTGCTATTTTTTTCAGGCTGGGGAGGAGAACCCTGTGGTGCACCTGTCAGTTGTGAGTCTTAACGGGCCCCTCCACACAGTGCTGATGAAGAGACCAGATGACCCCCGAATCGGGTGAGTGACAGGACAAATCTGCCTTGAGTAACAAGCTCAGAAAGTCCCAGGACAAAGGCTGTGTGGGGCTCACGTGTTCTCTTTGTTTCTTATTTAGGCGTGAGTACTACATCACCTCAGTCAGGTGGGCCACCAGCACCAAACTGGCCGTTAACTGGTTAAACAGAGGCCAGAATAACTCCATATTAACTCTGTGTGAGGCCACCACTGGAGTCTGCATCAAGGTACTGAGGATGGGGGGCTGATGCGTGCTGTACAGTGCTTCAGTCCAGTCTCTATATGATAACAGCTTTTAAGATATTACAGTGTGTAGTCTGAAAGCTTGGACTCTCCACAATTCAATCATTAAATTAATTCCACAGACAAAATGAACAATGAACATGCTGACTGAATATTGTGCTGTACCATATATCAGATGCAGTCAGTGTAATGGATTATTTAAACATGTTTGTTTTTAAATCTGAAATTAGATTTAAAATGGGTTCCCTTTTTACCCCACAAAAAATATTTTAACAATAGATGTTGAAATTAGAATATTGTTTAAAAAAATTAAGTATATTTAATATTCATGGTTTCATGTATCTATTTGATTTCTGCAGAAACATGAGGATGAGAGCGAGAGCTGGCTGCACAGACAGGTAGGGTCTGGTCTGCGCGAGTAAACAGCAGCCCTGGGGGTATGAGCTGCGACACAGTTCATTCTGAGTTTTCCATCTCTTCTTTGTCTAGAATGAAGCACCACTCTTTTCCCAAGACGGACACAGATTCTTCTTCACCAGAGCCATACCTCAGGGCGGGAGAGGGAAGTTTTTCCACATCTCTATGTCCACTTCAATGGTGAGTTATGGTGCCAAACTTTCTCCTGTATGAGGCCAGAGAGAGCTGAGTGGACTGTGAGTTTGTTTTTGTATTTCAGCCCAACAGCAGCACAGACATCCTTCAGTCACTGACCTCTGGAGACTGGGACGTCACCAAGATCCTGGCCTACAATCACCAGAGGAACCTCATGTGAGATACTACAATCTTTGTCTGATACAAAGTAGCTCCCACAGAATCTGAAGCTCTATATTCAAGCCTTTATCCAGGTGTAAATTTTAAAGGTCCTATATCACGAAAAATAGAGTTGTGTGCTTTTATCCGTGTTAAAGTGTTACATGCTCAAAAACATATGTGGAGTTGGGTTTTGTTTCAGTCATACATGTTTGAGTAACCCTTATTTATTAGTCTGTCTACATCTCCAAAGCTCAAACCTTGTTATGTCATGAAGTGGTCGTTTTCAATTTAACAGCTACCTTTTGGTCAGTAGAGATTGGAAATTCCAAGGCTGAAATTATCCAAATTATTTTAGTGAATAACTCACCCTAAATATACAGGGTTTGTATGTTAAACATGGGACTTAAACAGGTACCCACTATGTGAAATAATAATTAGAAAAACATCAAAACCTTTTATTTGAAGTGTAAATCTTATGAGAGTATTTCACATTTCAGATACTTTCTAAGCACAGAAGATGACCCTAAAACTCGACACTTGTACAGGTATTCCTCTGATATTATGCTGTAATATAATGGCAGAGATGTGCATGTGTTATTCAGTGTGTGCTCTGGTTTACAGTGCAGACACCATCCCTCCATTCAACCGCTGCTGCCTGTCCTGTGAGTTCAAATGTGGCTACGTGGACGTTTCCTTTAGCCACGACATGAGCTACTTCTTACTCAACTGTAAAGGTGAGCAGCCACACCCCGGTTCACTTAACTGTTAGATAATATATTCAATTTTACAACTTTTTATACATACCATAAATGTTATCTATGTTGGTTGGTTTAGCCAGAAAACAGATGCTTGTTTTCTTATTTTTATCTGGAAGAAGGGGTTCAGTACTTCTGCAAGACAGGACTATAATAATATCATGACCAATGTCTTTGTCATCAGAATGAATTAGAATTTCTTATGAGGCCAAACAGAACCACATGCTTTGACAAAACATCACAAAGATGAGGGTGTCTGAAATCGTAGCCTGTCTCTCTGAGAGAGATACATGCTCCGTTCAGGTAAAAACAAACATACCTCCTTAAAAGGGGGATAGATAACTGAGAGGATTGAGCAACAGTGTGGATTTCTGCAGAATCAAAGCACCAAACTCTTATTTTTCTATATTAGGTAACAGAAATTGTATATTTTGTTCTGCGAGAGAACAAGAGGAGATGTTTTCTGCATTTGAGAGACATGTGCTACAAATGAGCAGCTTTAGGTTTTTCATGCTCTACGTATGGCCCGATACCAAACCATTCTGTAGTCGAACAGAATGTATAAGGAACTGGCTGATCAAGTAAAACAATTACAATACTAAAAAGTCAACAAGGACTGATTTAACAAAGATTTGATAATAATAATAATTTTTTAAAAAGATCTCTATAATACTTCAGTCCTCCAGGTCGATTACATTGCACAAGGGTAAATTATGTTTTTTTTTTTTTACACATTCAAGACTTTTTCAGGAATGAAGAAAAAACGTTGCCAGTTACCAAATTTTTTTTTAACTCAAAAGTTTGTCCACTTTGACATAATTGAATTTCTAATGTTGCATTTTCATGTTGATGATTTCGACTGGATTTAGATTTTTATATTGTAGATGATATATGAATAGTCTTGCTATTCTACAAAGTGGCGATATAATGTATATTGATTACATTGTACTTTGCATGAAACATCCTAAATGAAAAATATTGAACCCAATCATTTCAATACAAAAGTCTATTTAGCTGATCCCATCTCTATTAAATATGATTCACCTATAATGTGATACCATCTGAAAACCAGCAATATTTTTTCATTTTATGAACTATCTGAGAAGGGAATGCCATTTGAGGTACTTGTTCAGTTTGAAGACTACTTTTCTTTTAAAGATTGAATAGTACCAAGATGAAGGATATGGTAGTGAATAACTGACTAATGCTTGGATACTGGGCTTATATGGAGCTGGACATTAGCAGATCACCTCAAACCTCTGTGGGATCAGCTCACATTGACTTTGTCCAATGTGGCTTTCTGTGTTAAGTATTCAGAGACAGATGCGAGGAGGGTCAGGCCTGTGGGTGTTATTGTGGCTATCTTCTGTTTACCACTGTTTCTCATGAGACTGTTGTCCTGGGAGCACAAAAGCAGTGTTTCTATGGAAGTTGATTTGTTTAGGGGCCTGCTCCCGGAGAGCTCCTGCGCCAGTGGCTCTCCCCATTAATTGGATCTTTGGAGAATAGTTCCACTGTGAAATAACAGCAAGGCAGCACTTCTCTTGGGAAAGAGAGTGGATTATAAAGATTAGGAGGAACAGCGCCTCTGAAATCTTAAGTGGATGACATGTTGCAACTATTGACCATTACTATTATAAGAGTTAATATAATGTGTTTGTATTGTATTTTTCCAGGTCCGGATATACCGAGTGTGGCTATCTATAAGACCAGTGACAAGCAAAGTGAGTGTTACCTGTTTTGTATGGGAGAGACAGTGGTTCCAAATCTTACCTCAAGTGTGTTAGAAATATTATCTCGAAGAATTCAAATGAATAGATTTGAGGTCCTATTTTACTCAAATGTGACTCTTGTGAGAGATAAGACATGTTATAATGCTGTTACCTCCTCAAAAACATACTTAGATTTGTCCATAGCTCAAAATGCTCTGTTCCACTTTGTGATGTCATGAAGCAGTAGTTTTTAAATGAACAGATACATTTTATCTCTTGTTTAGTAAAGATTGGAAATTCCAGTGCTGAAACTATCCAAATAATTATAGTGAAGGTGTATGGAGTTTGAAAAAAGGCAGTAAAGCACTTCCTGTATTACCATGTGACATCACAAGGTGGAACAGAGTGTTTTCTGTCTGAGATAAGAACTCAGCCTAAATATGCAGGGTTTTTGTGTTAAACATGTGTTAATGAAACAAAACACACCTCAGGGTATGTTTTGGATGAGGAAACAAGATTATAACATTGATTAGAAAATAGTGTAAAATGGGCCCTTTAAAGTAATTTATTTACACCGTTCCATTAATCTCTACTATATTCCTTTTCTATTTACAGAGATATTGGACATAGAGACTAATGAGAAGCTGAACGCAACATACAACAACATGCAGATGCCCCGTGTGGAGTACAACACCATCACGATTGATGACTACAGTACGTTCTCTGGTCCTATTCACTTAAACACATTACTAGACATTCTATTGCCCCTGCTGCCTGTAACTGTGCTTTTTCTCTCTTCTAGCACTGACCATGCAGATCCTGAAGCCAGCCGCGTTTGTGGATACGGCCCATTACCCCTTACTGCTGCTGGTGTGAGTATTAGTGCAGACAGATATGTTATGAATGAGATAAGATGGATTGTTTGTCCAGAAAGTCCAGACAGTAGCTCAGTCGGTCAAGTGTTTGTCCACTGATCCGAAGGTTGGCGGTTCAAATCCCACTCTCAACATAAACGTCATTTGTGGAGTTGTTAGATCCACTGACCCACAGGTTGGCAGAGTAATTCTAGCTCCCACAGATGACTGCTGTTGTTGTGTCCTTGGGCAAGACACATAACCCTCACTCCCAGTGTCTGTGTACACTGGTGTGTGAATGGATGAGTGGTTTCTTCATATAAAAATGCAGCCATTTGTCAAAGAGTTCAGCAGTATTTTTTCCTCTCTGAGATTACAATTTAAATTCATAATTTTAGACAAGCTGAGTTTTTTGAGAATTTTTATTTAGTTGAGATGTTAATTGTCCTACGTTCATGATGATGATGATGATGATGATGATTGAAACTTTTTCTGTAATATTTAAGCACCCATTATGATAGCAATTAAGAATAAGTACAATGGAATTCAAAAAGAACAGTGTAATTTAAAATGCAATTGTTTAGAAAAAAAACAAAAAAATTGTTAATTCCTCTGTTTTGATTTGCACAGTGTCCCAACTTGGGTTTGTAAAAAGAGTGACAATATGACCAGAGGAAGCTTGTGTGTTTCTTTCTCACTGAAAATTGTTGTTAAGCTTTAACGCAGCTCACGGCTGTTTTTCCTGTCAAAATCAATTTGATGGTGTAATATTATGCAATGGTTTCAATAGGCCTGCAATAGAAATCAACGCTCTTCTTTGCTTTGAGAAATGTCCTTGAGACTCAAAGTTGGTTCAAATATAAAGGGCAACTTCAAATGATTAACCCCATTTGCAGGGATGGCACCCCCGGAGGTCAGATGGTCACAGAGCAGTTCCAGGTGGACTGGGCCACAGTTCTGGTCAGCAGCTTCAGCACCATCGTGATCCGTTTCGACGGGCATGGCAGCGGCTTCCAGGGCACCAACCTCCTGCACAAGGTCCGCCGGAGACTGGGCAAACTGGAGGAGCGGGACCAACTTGAGGCACTCAGGTTTAACAAAAGCATATTTACAATAAGAAATACTATCTACATGTTTTAAATAATTAGAATATATTATTTTATGTGGTTGAGTGAGTTTTGATGAGTTGAGATGTATTAACTTGTTAAACCTTAATTATTTGATAAAGTTATGCTTAAAGGGCCTATATTACTCCAAATTGACTCTTGTGAGCTTTAAGTCATGTTATAATGTTGTTATCTCATTAAAAACATAGCTGGAGTTGTGTTTTGTTTCATTCACACGTTTGAGTAATCCTTTATTGTAGTTTGTCTACGTCTCCAAAGTTCAGGATTTTGAGTTTAACATGTGTGAATGAAACAAAACATAATTCCAGGTATGCTTTTAATGAGGAAACATCAGAAAATAGTGTAATATGGGCCTTTTGATATACTTTGAATCCAGTCAAACAAATCAGCAACATGAAATCCAGACCATGTTAATAAATTAAAATAACTGATACTAAAGCATGTATTTTATTTTAGGTTGCAGACTTGATGTTTAATCATTCTTTGATATTATGTTATTTTAGGTTCATATCAAAAGAGCCATACATTGACAAGAGCCGAATGGGAGTTTATGGAAAAGTAAGAGTGACATTTTTTTTTTAAATATTGTCTATGATTAAGATACAGTGTGAGATTTGTGCTTTTTGTGTTTGTTCTTTTTAGGCTTACGGTGGATACTTGGCCACTCTTCTTTTAAGCTCTGCAGAATTCACCCAGCTCAAATGTGGAACTGCAGTCTCCCCCATTACAGACTTTGAACTCTATGGTATGAATTTCCTGTTATCATTAGATTGTAATATTGGTGTCTTGGTTGCTTGGTACCTTCTATTACTTATAGATTCTTAATGCCCTATCCTGAATGCAGTTAACAGTCCATAGATAATTAAAGCCTACTTCAAATAATGGATGAAAGTAATTGTTGTATTTCCTTCTTCACAGCTTCTGCATTTTCAGAAAGATATCTTGGCTCAAAGACAGACGCTAGGGTCTACACGGTAAAGTTATCGCCTTTTAATGTCTTTAAGTCATTGTTTTTTTACAGCATGAATGATGGTAATTGGGGCCATTTAAAAAGTAATGTTGGATTTTGTCTCTTCTTGTCAGATGGCCAATTTAGCGCACAGAGCGGGTCAGCTTGTGGAGAAGCAGTACCTGATTGTTCACCCCACTGCTGACGGTAAGAGATTTAGAGCACGTCTGGCAACGCATTACCACTTAATGAGGCCGCCAGTGAAACACTATCAGCCTAATGCCTCTGTCTACTCTCATCTTTCACAGAAAAGGTTCACTTTCAGCACACTGCCAAGTTTATCAACCATTTAATCAACGAGAACGCTAATTATACTCTACAGGTGGGTGGCACATCACTATTGGGCCTGAGTAATGGCAGTCAGTTAAGTTAAAGTTTACATCTATATTGTACATGTTATCATTTAAGACACTAAATGAAAAAAACTAACAAAAAGGAAGGAAGCATTTCACTTTGAGGCTGTGAGGATCTTGAAAATTAAACTCCTTTCTTCTATGTTGGCTTTGGTTGGTCCTCATAGCATGTATTATTATTTAAAGGTACATTTTGTAACATTTCTATTCTATTACCAAGGACATTCATTCAGTGTGTGTTTATTGTGTAAATTATTATTACTATGGGCAGAGTGACTTTCCCACTGATCTGCACTTGGGGGAAATAAAAATGTAAACAGAATGTCAGTGTTTAATTTTTATTCCCTGAGTGTATAATATGGCATTGATGTTTGAAGATACCTTTGTACTCACTGGCTGTGGTCCTTCGTAGATCTACCCTGATGAGGGACACTTCTTGCACAGCGAGGGCACACAGCAGCACTTAAGCCAGTCGCTGGTGAACTTCTTTGGGGAGTGTTTTCGGGTCCCAGACGCCCCGACAGAGGAGCAGCAGGAGGAAGAGGATAGCTAAAGCCCCAGGAGCTGCACGGCCCCCTCCACAGCACAATAGGCAACATGCACACAGTCTGCAGCTGACGGAGGGCAGAGATGCATGTGCAAAGTGACCTTGGCTTACAGCCTTTTCTCTCACCTTGTGCTGGCTGCAGGCACATATGGGGCAAAAAGACAATGACTGAACTCCCTATTAACTCCAATACTATTGGACTAGTGGAAATAATGTAAAGGAAAAGTACTCCCTCTCCTGGACAAACTGCAGAACAACATGTCTCTACTGAGCCATGTGACTTACTCCAACTTTGGCACATTAATCAAGCGCTTTGCAGCACAATATATCCTTCTCATTTTGTTGACATTCACATTTGTGAAAGGCTGTCAGTATGTGATAACCTTGCCAATTTATTGATATTGCTTTCATGATTACCCAGTTTCTCTGTTGTCTTACAGTAGTTCTGTGTTATTGAGTGAATGTTTGGCTGCACCAGGTCATAATTGTTTTCCAAAAACAAAGGCACAAAAAATGGTCTGTACAAAATATTGTATTTTCCTTTTGCATACTCTGAATCTGTCACTGTGCCTTACTCCTGTGGGTGTTGTCTCTATTAGGAGCCCACTGACACTAAACAATTAAACTCGAATAGGCCTCGTCCTAAAGTGAATCCTGTCAATGACTAGAAACACACTTTTTTCTGACTCTTTGTTTAAACTTTGACATATATTGATACTCTCTTGAAAAAGTTCACATGTATCTGCTGGAAAGATAAAGTAATATTTAGTTTGTGAATAGCCTGAGATGTTTGTTGCTCTTAAGTGTAACAATGAGTTGACCACGTTAAACAGCTACACTGTGTGGATTAATTTGAACTGTGTTACCTGACTTGACTCCCCCCCCCATTAGTGGTTTCTAGTCACTTTTTCCATCAGTGGTTTCTAGTCATGTAATGTACAAAGTGTATAAATCTTATATTGTTTAAGTCTTTACGTTGTATGTGCAACTTGTATATAAAGCATTTTGAAATGTACAGCTGTTTTGGTTCATTGTGACACTCATTATACAAATCATTGCACCCTCCAGTGGTGAAAGCGGGTATTACAACTTTGAGTACTCCAGATTTTAAACTAACAGGGTTAAATTTCTACAAAGTGGAGTTATTTTTTTATGTGTGTATTTAACCAATAATCGAGAATGGACCAATTCATTTGCCATTGACAATTTATTTCCAGTGTTTCAGGAATTACGGTCCCTCTCACAATCAGAGGAAAAAATGATCCAGCTCAAGGACAGATTCCTGGCGCCTGGACCTCCTAAAGTACCAAACCACCCATGACACCAGTAGGCCTCATGAGCATCTTACAATACTGTACTTAAACCTGCAATCTTATGGAAATAAAAAACAAAAGCAGCTAAAACAGTATATACAGTTAAGTTACTTTTTCACATGGAATATTTAAAATTCAAGTTCTATTAAAACCAAAAATGAAAATGGGGAAAGTATAAAACATGTTAAGACCAGAATGGAATGCCTAAGGAATGGAAGCTCGGCATTTTGATACAGAAAACTGTGGAACACCTGTGAATGTTCAATAAAAATGTCATTCACAGTAACATCTTCGTTTATCAAAGACAGTATGGCACCCAGTACATTTCATTGTTAGGCACTTCCTGAAAAAAACATGATTCTGATTTACCCATTTCTTCTTGCTATTCTCATTGCAGTCACAGCCAGTCTACACATATACATTAGAGGGATTTTGTTCACTGCTCTTGGATCATCTCCCTGGTTTATATAGAAGTAACCTGTTTGCATTTGCACCATGTTCCCATACACTAAAGTCTACTTTGTACCTTTGGAAAGGCCCTGTGAGTGCAGAAAGCTAGCCCACTCACAGGCAGTACCAAAACACAGTTTCAAGTACACTGGAAAATAGCATTTCTGTTATTTTGAATGAACACAAGCGTCTAAAGCTTTTAGTCACTTTTACTGCAGGCAGTCTGTACATTCTTCATTTGGTTACCGAGACTCTGAACACTAGAACTTTCTTTACACAAAAATAGTTCCTCTGCAAAACTAGAAAATCTGTCTATAGTTGTATCCTATTCATTCTAATTCAGTTCATCTTTAAAGCCACTTGACTAAACCTTCAAACTCAACAGCACCTCCTCGTACAAGCTTCACAGGCTCTAGGTCCTTTCTGTTGACCAGGAATTTGACGCAGAAGGAAGCACTCCTGCAAAATATCCAAAAGTTATGGAAAAGTAATAATAAAAAAGAAAAAAAAAATATTCACAACTTGTTGGCTCATGCCTGATACATGAACATGACACTCCCTGTGTGCATCAATTCATACATTTGTACAGCAACATGCTCACTCACCGGCAGATATCACATGTACAACACACATACACGCAACTTTTCCACGTTTGTCCCACAAAACAAAAAATCCCACGCTGCTCACAGGTACTGGTAAAACCGTGAGTGCACCACCTGGGAGCTGGTCAGTTTATGTGGGTGGGCGGCCGCTGCGAGGCTGAGGTTCTTAGTTGGAGGGATGTCCCCGTTGACAGCCTCAATGGGACGAGAGGGCCCCTCACAGGAGGCAGAGGCACTGTACTGCCCCTCCTCCTGCTGCTCCCCCTGCTCCAGGCTCACCTCGGGGTTGCTAGAGCGATGCCGCTCACGGGCGATCCAGTCTCCAATGGAGAAGTCCTGGGAGCTGCACTTGGGTTTGAGTCGGTCCACAGCGGATAGCTCAGAACGAGGGCCGATGGCAACGGGCTGGGACCAGTCCATCACAGACAGCTCAGCAAAGTCCCTCTGGCCCCCCATCGTGTGGCGCCGCCGAATGTTCTTCTTTTTGCTGCGGCCCTCAGGAGTGCGCTGGCTGCCCACACCAAACATGTCATCCACAGACATGCGCAGACGCACTTTGAGACGATCAGTGATCTTTAGCCTCCATGCAGGCTCGCTCTTGTCAAGCTCGCTGCGAGACGAGGAGCTGAGGCTGCCACTGGAGCGACCTTTGGTGGAGCCCATGGCCCGCGACAGCCTGCTGGAGTCCTTGTCACCACGGCCGTCCAGAGAGGACTCACTGGTGGTCTTCTGGCTCTTCTTTCGAGACAGTGTGTCCCCCTCGATGAGCCTGTGGGACTGCAGTGGTCGCAGCACCACACTGTCTCTGCCCACAGTGAACACAGACAGGTCACTCTCACTGTCCGTCTCTGCGTGCCGGCCCTCACTGATGAGTTCACTGCGTTCGTCGTCCGCATCGTCTCCTCGGCTCTCAGACACAGACTGCACCTCAGGGCTCAGGGCGCTGAGATCTCCACCTGTCAAGAAGGTCATGGATGATGTGGTGGAATAGTCTGAGGTGATGGAACACACATCTGTGCCCACACTGCCCAGAGTGCCCTCATATCCTGCAGGTGGATACCGGCAGCGCCTGGCTCTGGGAACAGAGGCCTGGGAGCTGGTGCTGTTCATGGTTCCTAGGTCTGACACTGTATCGTCGTAGTTACCAGGTGGGTCAGACAGCGTGGACTGGTGAGCCATACGCTCGCTCAGAGTGGGTGAGCGGGGTGGTGAGGGGGTCTGGACTTCAGGTGATATGGGCTCTTTATCTGGGCCATCCAGCTGATCCTCTGAGCTCAGCCTGCTTCTGCTCTGATCATCCTCCTCCTCTTCTTCCTCTTCTTCCTCGGTCCGACTGTCAGGTGACCACACAAGCTGCTGCATACACCCCTCTTCCTTGGGTACACGGGGTCCAGAGTCCAGGTCATCGTCAGAGCTGCTGGGCTGGGCTTTGTCCTTGGGCTTCTTGCGTTTGCGGCTGGCAAACAAAGACGAGCGCAGCATCTCTTTACTGCATTGGTCTTTCCCTGAGCCCCATAAACCCTGCACACAAAGTTAGTGTTACATGCCGCACCAGAAAAAAGCTATTTATTACATCAAATGTGATCCCAGTTACCTTTGATTTTGAAGAATCACTACATGCTGAATCTGCATTCAAGAAAAACAAACATTAATGGCAGTCACCAGATTGACATAAAAAAAAAACATGAGAAGTGCAAAGCAGAGTCAAAGTTTGCTCAGAGTCAGAGAGACAACATGAGTAGAATGACAGCAGCTGAATGAAGAGACTGACGACAACAGACCACAGTGAGAATGAGGAGGCAGAGACGCCCGCAGACACAAAGCAGCTCATGCTCGAGTTCAGATGGAGACGACGGCACATCACGGGACGAAGACGGAGCGAGGACATCGAGCTGCTGTAAGCCCTGAGGCACTACAGCGATGGCACAAGAAAGGCCTGTTGTATGTGTCCAAAGAAGTACTCGTACTGCCACTGACATTCGGACGTTTTGCTCATTACCATCAACAACTAAAAACCAAAACAAAGTTTTTCCCCCAAACCTTTACCCAAAAATAAAAAGGTAGAAAATTCCTAGACCACAACTAACACCAATGAACTATTAAGGAACTACTAAGTCTACTAATATGAAAACAACTGCAAGAAATGGTTCTACAAAAGCAAGTCGATTTCTGGATGAAAAAGGCATTGTACAGCAGGTTAACATAATTCAGCTGCCTTAAATAGAGTGAAACATAAAAATGTAGTATTTTTGTCTTAATCTATTTGCTCACTGTGGTTCCAGAGTCCATAAGTGATTAGGCTTTTCAAGTTGCATGATGCACACAGAGGTGAATAAAAAGGTAAATTAAACAAGAAAAAACACAGAAAAGTACAGTAAGGTAATGCTGAATGAAGACTAAAACACAGAAGCACAGAAGGACCAAGGACCACATGATACTAAAGTTTCCTTTCCACTGCCAGTCTGCTACTGCTGTGTGTAGCCTGTTTGTGTGTAATCGCATGAGTGGGAAGGGCCACGGCGCTTGGACCCCCCTCAGACACCATGACAGACGGAGCCACAGGAGTTAGACCGTACCATGCTACTTGTCCTTGCGGTCAGCTTTAGGGACAACAAGAGACAGCAGAAGGGCTTTCAGACAAAGTACAGCAGCATTGCTCTGTATCCCCTCTTATCAGGGTTTCAAATATGAGACGTGCACACCACAGTAAAAATGACAAACATCGACTTCTCTTTCTTTCGTTTTATCGTTTTTCTTCCTTTGGCCCAAATTTTAAAAGAGCTGCGGGTGTCTGCAGACTAGGCAGCTACAGGGGGCACAACACTCGTCCTTCTTCCTACAGTCCCAGCTGTCCATGACTGACAGGACAGAGTCCATCAGCGACATCATCGAGTGATAGACGCCGCCCACTTGGCCTGTGTCAAGAGTGGGTCACCAGTGAATAAGGGAGAGAAACAGCACACTACACACAAGAGGTCAGAAGGTTACAACTTCCAGCTTTGCTCTGGTTCTTAGGTTGGTCTTTGGGGAAGAACATGCCGGGATTATGTGAGACAAGGAGGAGGGGAAGAAAAAAACGGAAAGAAAAGGAGTCGTCGTCTCAACACAAGTAAAGCACAGGGAGAAATCAAAATGATTTGAGCAAGAAAATTTTAAATGGAGGACAAAGAAATGAATGCAAACAAACTTTTTGACTTTTGGCCAAAAGAATACAAGAAATTAAACAAAGCAGACCCCCAGTCAAAATAATAGAAGTCTCAAAATAAATGCTAATTGCATTATGTCATTTTATGCAACAGTTTTTGAACTTTGAACATAACTGAACTGAAGACTGAAGCATTTGAAACATATCTAATATGCATGACTCTTATCTGGCATGTAATGGTTTTGCAGGTGACATTTAAATGATCATATTTATACCAGTACTGACAAGACTCTAGATCATTTTTAGTAAACGCTATTCTGGATAATCACAAGTAACTTACCTGACACTTCGCCTGGTGAAGCTGTAGTTCGCCCAATATTGGAGAGCAGGTGGTCAATATTTGGCACAGGCTGCGAATGCACTGTGTTCTCTTGCTCAGCTGTGGTCTGTCGATGAAAACACATCACAATATACAGCAAGTGGACACAAAACAACCAGTCAATCA